TGATTTCATATTAATTCAAAGTGCAAAATCTAAGCAAGCACAATAACAGATGTCTTATTTTAGTTAGCCTAAGAAGAATATTAATGAAGCATCAAACATACAGGCCTATGGTAAGTAACTGGAACCACTATGCAAAAGCATTTTTAAAAAGTTCATCAGTTTAGCATAAATACTAAACAGGACAACTCCTATTGCTGCTGTCATATCCCCAAACTAAACACTTTTAAAGATTCTAACTGGGTGTCGTGGCTCATACCTGTAATCTCAGCTATTCCAGAGGCAGACACCAGTAGAATCACAATTCTAGGCCAGTCTGGGCAAAAAGTTAGCGAGACCTCATCTCAACAAAACAGCTGAGCATGGTGGTATGCACCTGTCATCCCAATAAAGTGAGAAACATAAGTAGGAGGACTGCTGTACAGGCTGACCTGAGCAAAAAACACAGGACCCTACCTGAAAAATAACTAAAGCAAAAAGAGCTGGAGGCATGCCTAGAACAATACAGCACCTATCTAGCAAGCACAAACACCAGTATAGCCACAAAAAACCCCAAAAGGTCCACTCATTTACATATAGCTACAGACTTCTAAATTTTCCTCTACACTGATTTTCAGGCCTACAAAATGAGGCCAATTCATGCAAAGGTTATAGTAGAAAAACTACTAATACATCATTAAATATTTCTGGTAGAAAGTGAACTCACAAAAGATGAAATGTCTGAAATTTATTCTAACAATACATCTGTGTAAAGTTGCAGATATATAAATAAACAGCAACAAAAAAATCCAAGCATATTCTTCACTTGGTATCTAATTATGAAAAAGACAAAAAAAAGAAAAACAATCTGAGATATCAAAGAGGTAAAGTGAAATAGAAACTAATCTAAATAAGTTAGCACCTCAAAATTTTATCACCATAAGAAGATGACTAAGGTAGAAATAATAATGAAGAAGATGAATCAATTTGGGGCATAATACATATATATGGAAATGTCACAATGAAACGCCCTGTATAACCATCATAAACAAACAAAAATGACTTTTTTTGTTAAAAAAAAAAAAAGCAAGGGTAGGAAGGCAAAACAAGTTCTGTCCAGAGGTGGGTACAACTGGGAAGAGGGGAAGGGCATAAGGAAAGGGTGTAGGTGGGTGAATATGGTGGAAAAACTATGTACTCATGTATGAAAATAGAACAATGAGACCAGTTCTACAAAGGGAGGAAGAGGGGATCAAGGAGAAAGATGGAAAGAGTGAATCTAACTAAGATATATGGTAAGCACTTATGTAAATGTCTCAATGTACCCTGGTAAAATTATAATATGCCAATAAATCAAGAAAAAAAGTAAAAGTTCCTGAAGAGATTTCAGGAGACTCAGAAATGGCATGCTCTGAAGCACAGTCACTCCTAGGAGCACACAATATCTGTGGTGATTCCTTTTAAAATACAGGTGCCTTTCATCTCCACAGCCAGCGCTAACAAGCATGAAAAGAGATACACCAAGATTCTTTCCCACTGTTTTCCTTACCTAATTTTCCTTAATAACTAATGAAATACAAAAATGTTGAGATAAAGATAAAAGAAGAGCTGACAGCTGAAATAGGAGTAAAAGCCAAACATAAAGGTCGTGGCTAAAAGAAGTAGATGTTAATTGCGTGTTTCTTTTGGCAATATCTGAATGTTTCTTAGTCTCTAATAAAATATACAACTTTCTATCTACTGTTATGAAAACAAACCATTTCTTTGACAATGACTCCACAGTCAAGTAAATAATACAGAAATTCCAACCAATAGACAGCTGTTAAGAACTTCTGGATTACGGTGGCAGATTACAAATTTCCTCTGTGTAACTCTAAATAAAAATAATCAAGATAACAAGGGAAAACTATACCTATTCTAAGGACAGAGAGAGAGAGAGGAAATGCATCAGGAATCAAGAAAGAAATAACAGGACAACTAAAAAACTCAGAGAAATAGAAAGGTGATAAGAAGAAGCATAAAATAATCTGCAGCTCCACAGGGTCAGGGGGAGAAGTTGCAGCCCCAAGGTAAACCAGGCAGCCCTGGTAAGGAGACTGGCATTCCTAGTCACAAGAAAACCCCACAGTTTTCACAAGCTTTAAACCCAGTGTGGGGATTTGGTGTGACAGTGACTCCTACAGCACAGGTTAGCATTGGAGAAGGAACTCATTACAATACTTCCCATATCTTAGCAGGTGCCATACTCAGAGGGGGCCTATTGTTTGAGACTAAGCTACTCTGGGACAGGAAAACAAGCAGCAATCAAAAGCCAGGGAGCCAGGGGACTCCCTGCCAGTGACTGGGTAGGAGATGGCCATGAAAGGCAGTCATGGGGAAGGCTGACACAGATCCCCTGAGCAGTTTAAGCACTGGGGAGCTTGGACTGTGGACAATGCAGGTCAGTAGCCTGGTCACCTAACCCTTTACCCTGTGCATCAACCTGCTGGCTAAGAGCTCTGTGGATTGCTCAGCCTCTGAATCTGCCTCTCTGCTATCAGGTGAGACTGAAAGTCCTAAGCCCAAGTCGAGCAGGGAGGTTTATTGCTGGGCAGTCTGTTCCTCCAGTGCAAAACTCAGGGCTTAATTTTCCCCACCACAAACCACTCAGGGGCCATGCCTCAGTGTGGACTTTTGTTGCCCTTTTGTGCACAAACTGGGGAGCATCTGAGTGAGCAGAAACCTGACAGGCACACAGGATACAGACCTCACTGGGGCCAGCAGTGGCTTCCAGGATGCAAAGAAGGTAAGTTTCTAAAGTGAACATGGCCAGACACTGACAACAAATCCCTTACCCAGCTCAGCCCACAGCCTACACACAGCATAACACCAACCTATATAGTAAGAGAGGAACTACTGTAGACTCCAGACACCTTAGGATAGAGACAACCCACCACAACGTTCTCTATTCTGGCAGATTACTATAGGAGAGAACCCAGAAGGAAACTGCTTCAACTGTCTTTTTTTTTAAACTTTTTTTCTTGGTAGTATTTTTAGTATTATTTAATCTTTAAAAATATTTATTTTATTAATTTTATTTACATGTTGTTTTTCTTCATTTTATACTCAGATTTTTTTTCTTAAAATCCTTGCTAATGGCACAAATACGCAGAACAATAAAATGGATTAGAGGACCCAGAAATAAGCCCACACAGTTACAGCCATCTGACTCTCCACAAAGGGACTAAAACACACATGGGTGGTGCTGGAAAACTGGATATCCACATACAGAAAACTGAAACTAGATTTATACTTCTCACCCTGTACAAAAACTCAGTTCAAAATGGATCAAAGACCTTACTATAAGCCCTTAAACTTAGAAACTGTAAGAGGAAAGCAGAGAGGAACACTTCCATGACACAGACAGAGGTCATGCTTTTCTGAATATGACTCCAGTTACTCTGACATAAAAATACAGAGCTTCTGCACAGCAAAGAAAACAATTACCAGAGGAAGAGAACCTACAGAAAGAAAGAAAATGATTGTCTGCTATTCACCTCACAAGAGAATAATACCCAGAATACACAAAGAACTCAGGGGTACATGGTGGCACATGCATGAGACTCTAGCTAACTGGGAAGCAAAGGTTGGAGGTTTGCAGTTTTAGGCCAGTGTCGGCAGAGGACTATTTGAGAAGAGAAAAGGTACTAGTGGAGGGAGCGAAAAAAGACAATGCGGGTGTGAGTATAATCAAAGTACATTATAAACATGTAAGAAAATATAAGGAAGTCATTATTTTGTACACTATATGCTAACAAAATCTTTTCTAATCAGTTGTATGTTGACAAAGTACTTTAATTGACTTTCAAAGTCTAAATTCCCTTATTATCAAGAACTTGTGGACTTGAGGGGATTGAACCCATGGCTCCCAGCTTGCTAATCAAAGATGCTCTACAACGAGCTACACCTTCAGCCCCAAGTGGCAATATCAAGGAGCTCAGTGTAGGCCTTCAAGGAAAAGAGGGCATGAGCTCCATGGATATCTGCAGGAAGAACATTCCAGGCCAAGGGAATAGCCAGTGCAAAGGCCCTGAGGTAGAAGCATACCTGGCTTGTTTGAAGAACAACAGTGAAGAAGAAGAAGTTCGAAAAACAATGAGACTGGAATTTAGTGAGTGTTTCAAAATGTCCATAATTTAAAAAATAAGAAGACAAAAAAGAATAAAGAAAGAAAATGGAAAGAATAAACCAACAATTAGCGCTCCTCAAAAAAAAAAAGAACTTGTGAACTTGAATGATTTATCAGCTTTTCCTCAAAAATTATTACTGTCTACAATTTTAGTTTCCTAAATACAATAAAATGTATAGAAGTTCAATCATACTTAGATCAGAATATTGTCATAAAGTTTTGAGCTTTGTTCTATCACTGGCAATTACAGATTATTAAAAAGAAACAAGCCAGGTGTGGTGGATCATAGTTTGAGTTCTGCCCAGGCAAATAATTAGCAAGATACCATCTCCAAAGCAACCAGAGCAAAATGGACTGGAAGCGTGGACACACTTACACAGTAGAATGCCTGCTTTTTAGGCTTGAAACCCTGAGTTCAAACCCCAGTCTCACCAAAAAAAGAGAAATCCATTAAATATGTCAATTGAACCAGGCATGGTGATTCACACCTATAATCCAAGCTACCTGAGAGGTAGAGACAGGCAAATTGCAGATCAAGATCAACCAAGACAAAAAAGTTAGCCAGACCCTAACTCAAAAACAAGCCAGGTGTGGTGGTGCACACCTGATATTCCACCTACTGGGAAGATGACAGTGGGAGGTTTGTGGCCTGAGCAAAAGTGGGAGACGTCTGAAGAAGCAAAAGAGAAAAGGCATAGTTCAAATGGTAGAAAGCTTGACCAGCAAGTGTGAGACCCTGAGCTCAAACCACAGTACTGTTAAAAATAAATATGAGTTGAACTTCATATTTAAAGTGACAATGATAAGCTAATTGGACAGAATTATTCACCTCCCAAGGCATGACAAAGTACTTTACCTGAGTCATTGCGTAGGTAGGAGGACATGGCAGGGACGAGGCAGGACTGGCTGAGCAGTTCCAGCAGCACAGCCGGCAGGGCACTGCTATTCTGACCTCTGCTCTCAGGGCATGGTGGCGCTTCCCCATCCACAGAGCCACTTGCAGGGTTTATGTAACTTGCAAGAACCTGTAAGAAAAGAGGTGCAAATTAAACTGGATTTTGCTTCACATATTTTAAAACCCTGAACTTTACATTAGACATTCAATCTGAATTCTCAAATGTTTGTATATGTATGTATTTTTCTATTCAGTGTCTGACACTGTATATTTTCAAAGGACATATTCTGTTTAAATTTTCAATAGAGAAGGATCTGTTTTGTCTAAGAGTGATGCTTACAAAAGATGTACACCATACATATCTACACACAGAAAAGCAACCCACCTATGGACAAGGACTGAAAACTAAGTAGCAACTGTCATTATTTATGATTTTTATTGAACAGATTCAGTTAATCGTCTGAGGGTGCAGGAATCTTAGAACTTCATACTAGAAGGAGCATATCATTCTAGAATTACAGAAAACAACACTCAAGCCAGGACTGAGTTCAATTAGTTGATGTAGGAACTAAAGCTAATCTTTGGTTTCTGCATCTCTCCTCAGCTCAACTTGCTTGAGTCTAGAAACATCAAAGGACAATTTGAAAAAAAAATTGTTAGGGGAATGTAGAGTACCTCAGAGGTAAAGCACATTCTCAGCATGCTTAAGGCCCTGAGTTTAATTCCCAGCACCAAAACAAAAATAAATAGACAATAAGTTTTAATAAAGGAGTCCAAATACAACACAGTGATAGAATGACTAGAAGAAGGAAGATACATTATGGTCTTCCAGTCATAGGAAATTCACACTTTTCACTTTCAGTGAAGGAGCTTCATCAAGAGGGGAAAAAATTACAATAAGCAGAAATAACAATTTTTGTCCAGAGGTACCTTACACAGTATTTGGAGCCAGGACCATAAGTGGGCAGGAAGTAGCTGGGAGTGAGCTGAACACAACATCACTATATAAAATCAGTACACTCAGGTGGCAGAGCGATTGCCTAGCAAGCGCAAGGATCTGAGTTCAAATCTTAGTACTGCAGATAAATATATCAGAACAAAATAAAAAAATCACTATCACCAAAATACTGACTTTACAAATATACCTGCAGAAGACAGGTGACATGCTCCTCTTCAAGCCTCTGCTTAGTTAAGGCTTGCTCCACATCCCACCCTGAAGCTGTAGAACCTGTTCCAAAGCCTGTCCCTTTGGCCCAATATAGCTGCTGTTCTTCTGTAGACGCAGGGTTATGAGCATTAGACACCTGTGGCTTGTAGCAATAAAGAAATAAGAATTTATTACCATTTGGATTACTTTACCTTCAAAAATACTCATCACTGGAAATGTAAAATGGCTCAGTAGTTACAAGGAACAATTTGACAATTCATCTAAAAACTGAACATCTTAATTAATGACTCAGCTATTCCACTCCTAGCTATAACTCCCAAAGAAATGAAAACTAAGGCCAGGCACAGTGGTGCAACAATGTAATCCTAGCTACTGGGGAGGTGGAGATCAGAAGGATCATGGTTCAAGACCAGCCTGGGTAAAAAGTTCTCGAGACCACATCTCAACCAATGGCTTTGTGGTGGCATGCGCCTATCATCCCAGTCACATGGGATGGAGGTCCAGGCTGACCAGGGCATAAAGCAAGACCCTACCTCAGAAGTAACCAATATAAAATGGGCTGGGAGTGTGGCTCAAGTGGTAAAGCGCCTGCCTAGCAAGCACAAGACTCTGAGGTCAACCCCTAGTACTGGTAAATAAACAAAAATAAATGAAAACTAGTACTAAAACAAACACATTACACATACTCATATTGGCAGTATTCCCAATACTCAAAAGGTGGAAATGCCCCAAATATCCACTAATGGGTATCTAAAGAAATACAGTGGAATACTATTTATCCATAAAAAGGAAGTGTACAAATGCATGCTACATGAATAAACTTTAAAAACTTTATATGCAAAGTAAATGACAAACTCAAAAGGTAATGTGTTTTATGATTACATCCAATTGAAATATTCAGTATAGGTCAGTGTTTGGAGAAAGAATGAAAATTGGTAGGTGCCAGGGGCTGGAGGAAGGGGTAAATGGAGAGCAACTATTTATCTTCAAAAATCCTCTCAGGACCAACAAGCAGAACACCCTCAGGACATTACCACCAATGTGAAGACTGCCATTTCCACAAAGAGCAGGTTTTGTCTTGTTCAGAATGTGAAGTGTAAAAATAGCTCAAATATTAAAAATGAAAATGGTGAGGAGATGGAAAAATGGCCAGTTCATAAATACTACCTCACCCCTGTAAAGGTTAGTTCTTTATTATTATTTATGGGGAAAGTATAATTAATTCTGGAACAAGAATCTTGCTTTAAACAATTTTCTTAAAATTTAACCTATCACATACCCTCAAAAATTTGCAATTAAATGTTAGTTTCAAATGCAAAGGAACTAATGTAGAAACTTTAAAGCGACAGAGGCCAATAGGAGAAGGGGACCAGGAACTAGAGAAAAGGTCACTTCAAGTAGAATCAATTTAGAATGTAACACATATGTATATGAAAGCAATGCGAGGAATCTCCCTGTATAGCTATCCTTATCTCAACTAACAAAAACCCTTGGTCCTTCCTATTATTGCTTATACTCTATCTTCAACAAAATTAGAGTTCAGGGCAAAACAGTTTCTGCCTGGAAGCGAGGGAGTGGGGGACAGAGGGAGGGGATAAAAGGAAGGGACGAGGATGGGGGGGTGGAGAGAAATGACCCAAACATTGTATGCACATATGAATAAAAGATATTAAATAAATAAATAAATAAATAAATAAATGTTAGTTTCAATAGTGACTCTCAAGCAATGTCAATTCTATTTTGGGGGGGGCTGTCACAACTTTATTTTTTAAAGATTATCTGGTCTCGCTACAGTTTTTCTTTGTCAATTCTTTGAGGGTACAGGCAGGAAATTTTATTAAGAGAGGAATGAACATTGCCGTGGGAAGGGAGGGGTCCTACGTTTCTTTTAATGGAAATATTTTCACGGGGAAAAAAAATACAGAAATCAAGTTTTTATACATTGATACATATAGCAGTATGGATGTGTGAATAAGAAATTCCATCTTTCAAGCTATTAAGTCAATAAAATTTCATTAACATATAAACATTTCCTTTAATGTAATTAAAAAAACAACTATTTATTTAAAGCAAACAAAAATGCCTATAGTCCCAACACTTGGGAAGAAGAGCCATAAAGATCACCTGAGCCCAGGAATCGTGTACCAGTCTGAGCAACACAGCAAGAACCTGTCTCAATTGCAAAATAAAACAAAATAAAATTTCTTGTATTTTTTCTCTTTTGTGGTACTAGAGATTGAAACACAGGGCATCACGCTTGCTAGGCAAGCCCTCTAAAACTTGAACAATGCCTCCTACCCTTTTGCTTTCATTTTGGTTTTAGGAGATAAGGCCTTGGTAACTTTGTTCACACTGGCCTGGGTAGCTGGTATTTCAGGCATGTGCCAAATACAACCATCTCATTTTTATTATTATTATTTTTTTTGGTGGTACTGGGGTTTTAACTCAGGGCCTTGCACTTGTGAGGCAGGCACTCGACCACATAAACCATGCCCTAGCCCTCAAAATTTCTTAACAAGAAGTCTAATACATACTCAGAAACAATAAAAAAAAAAACTTGTAAATCTTAATGAATTATCATGATGCAATCACAATTTAGCCATGAAGGTCAAAAATTATATCACTGTACCCCAGAAATTCCCCTCACTGCATTTCTTGTTCATCACACCCTCATTCTTCTACAAAGAAAACCAGAATCCTGATTATTTTAAAAATGATAATATGCTCAGCAGTACACCAACAGTAGTTTTGATTTGTACTTGAATGAGAGACTCCCTTTCAAAAGCTATTTACACAGCTTTTTAGAAAATGCCCATTCAATCCTTCTAACCATTTTCCTATTAGATGTCTGTCTTCACCTTTCTGAAATTTTAAAGCTCACTATACACTCTGAACGTAAGTTCTACATCAGATCGATCTATTTACCTATCTATCTATCTATCTCAATCACCTCTCACAAATACACATTTTCTGTGGCTTACCTTTTCATCCTTACTTACTTACTTATTTTGGTGGCACCAGAGTTTGAACTCAGGGCCTCACATTTGCTAGGTAGGCACTTGACCACCTGAGCCACTCAGCCCCTTTTTGTGTTGGCCATTTTTAAGATAGGGTCTTGCAAACTATTTGCCTGGGGCTGGCTATGAACCCCAATCCTCCTAATTTCTGCCTCATGAGTAGCTAGGTTACAGGTGGCAGCCAGCTTCTCACAGTATTTTTGATGGAACAAAAAAATTATTACGTGGAAAGGTGGATGGAGAAAGGCAAGCAAATGGGTGGGATATTATAGCTATGTAGGAGAAGGCATGCAAATGGGTGGGATATTATAGCTATGTAGGAGGAATAAGTTCAGGTATTCTTATTGCTCAGGGTGACTACTGAGAGCAATAATGTATAGTACATTTCAAAAGGAATCGAAAAGGATTTGAATGTTCTTATCACAAACAGATGATAAATAAGAAGATTAATTACCATAATTTGATCATATAGGGGTATACAGACACTGAAATACTACACTGCATCCCATAAATATGTACAATTGTGTACCAATTTTTAAAAGTTCTACTTATAATAAGTTGCCTCTTCTAATTTTTTTTCTCCTTATGGAAGAGCTTTGTTTATTCAAGAAATCTTTGTCTAAGAGAGTGTAATGGCTCACTCCTGTAATCCAGCTACTCAGGAGGCAGAGAGGCAGAGACTAGAAAGATAATGATTTGAAGTCAGCCTGAGCAAAAAGCTCACAAGACCCCATCTCAATCAGTATGAAGCTGGGTGTAGTGAATGATAGGTGCCTTTCATCCATTGCAGCTATGCAGGAAGCATAAATAGGAGGATCACTGTCCAGGCCAGCCTGTGTTTAAATGTGATACCCTATTAAAAAAACTAGCAAAAATTGTGTATCGCTGGCTTATGCCTATAATCACAGCTACTCAGGAGGCAGAGATCAGGAGGAACATGGTTCTGGGCTCATGAAGTAGCTCAAATGGTAAAGCACCTGCCTAGCAAACCAACCAACCAACCAACCAACCAACTAACTAAAAAAAACAAAACAAACGAATCCCAAAATATAGCTAAAGCAAAAAGGGGCACAAGGCCTGGAGTTTAAATCCCAGCATAAGAAGAGAGGCAGAGATGTCTGTCTATTCCAAAATAATAAAACTATTTGTAGTTTTTTAAAAAGCAGGTATCATGTATGCCTTCATATGACAACATCCACTTAGACCTATCAGCTCTTAAAATTAATTTTGGTATATAGACCAATTTTGGCATATATAGTTCCATATCTTATGAAACTGAGCTAGCATGATATATTGGTAAGACCATACTGAATTCATAATGCTATATATAAGATAATTATACATACACATACACGGGTTTAAGTCTCTATCGATTGCTAACTTGTGTCTACACTTGAAGTAGCTTGACAGTAAGTGTGATAAATGGTAGTATAAGTTTGCTAAACATTTGTCCTTTGTTAGGCAGGCACTCTACCACTGAAGCCACACCAACCAGCCCAACATGTCCTTCGAAACTACCTCAAGTATCCTTGACCCTGTACATTTCTAGAAATGGTTTGCAATCAACTTGTCAACTTCCTCTGAAATAAACAGAAATTGTATCAAGCTTCTGGATTGATTTGGGAAACAATTATATTATTGAACTGTTGCATTAAGTAGCTCATGACAGATGAACATAGGCAAAGACATTAAAATCTTAAAGTATTTTTTGTAAAGAAAAGCTCATGTATTTTATGAAGAACTGGCCAGAACCTACCAATCAATAGTATGATTCTCTAAATTTCAGTAAAGAAAACAAAAAGGGAACATGGCATAAATTCAGCATATCTTGGCAAATGGGAAAAGCTTCTTAAGCTCTTAAATTGCTTCTTTCAAGAACTTGGGTTAATTTGCTATTTTCTGCAGGGGCCTAATAGAGACAACAATTAAATTACAATTTCTCTTCTAAACATCTGGTTTTGATTGTAAAAAAACACCCAAGTTTCTGAAAATGACACATACCTCTGTTTGATTGAGGCTAGAGTTTGGAACTCGGGGGGCATGATGGCTCAGAGCAGACAGACAGACAAGAATGAGATGTAGTGCTCCGATTTCCAATGCCATCCTCCTTAGGAGCACGCCATCATCAGTTGTCAAGGGCGTAGCACTAAACAAGCTACGAAGAACATGGAAGGGAAGGGTTGGAAGCACATTGGCTGATGGAGACTGGAGAATATGACCTAGATTAATAAGAGAAAAAGACTCAAAATTAAAAATATTTTAATAGTAGTATGGGGCTGCATGAGGCCACAAAGTACACCACAGGTAAAACACCACAAATGGAAACACGGGCGTTTAAATTTAATGTCAGGAAAAGCGCTGCAACAAATAATACATAAAAACTCCAAAAGAAAGTGATATGTATGCATGAATAGCTAGAGATTATACAAAAATTATTACAAATTAAGATGTAACTAAAAAGAATTAAAAGTTTCTGACAACAGTGAAAAAGTAAAAGCTTGCCTTGGAAGTAGTTTCTACCATGAATACACAAAGAAGTGAAACTATTTCCTTTATAACAACAGTTTTCAACAATATTTTAGTCAGCTACTTAAAATGTACCTTGGGTATTTCACAGTTTGAGTTTTAAGATATACAAATTCATACACTTTTGCTGGATTAAATGTAATTAATGATATGGTTTAACAATGCCTTCTTTCTAAATGGCTTATGGGAGAAAAAGCCTTACTCATGTAAGCCTTTAAAATCATGTGATTTTAAATAAAAAATTAATTTTATTAATATTAATTGGTAATTGAGTGAACAATTAGAGATAACCCAAACAAACAACACTCCATTTTGCTATACTATCCTAACTTTGTCAAATCAACCTTCCTTCCCTCCTTAAGTAACAATGCTAACCCAACCGAAATAATTACCACAGCTTTCTTTAATTATTCAATATTATTATTACACAACATATAATACTATTTTCTCAATTCTGTTCTCTTTGATCTCTTTAAAAACTATTCTATCATTACTTTACTTAAAATCTGAAGTTCTTAACAAGCCTCTCCATGATATTATCCAATACTAACTTTTAACCAATGCTAACAATACTGCATTTTGTACAAATTTTCATCAGCTACCTTCTCTCCTCTTATATATTCTGAACTTACAAACACTGCTTAAACCATTTCTTCTTTCTGAAATAATTCAACCGAATCTAAATCTCATCCAGCCTCAGGGCCCCACCAAAATCTTTTATACCACTTACATCACATATCAATTGGTAAAGAAATGAGCTCACACCTCTGATTCAATTAAGCACAAGGCTTTTATAACCTGGTAAGTCAAAATAAATGTGTAACAGGCAACTGGATAACTTTACCCAACCGACTTATGTGTTGATAAATTTACTTAATAGCACTGAACACTTACTTCCTTCTCCATCATCTGTCACTCCCAATACCAATCGAAGAAGGCACTGGGCATGTTTCCTCTCTTTTAGTAGCACTTCAGCATAGCCCGGAAGACGAAGAAATAGTCCGAAAGCAGCCAAAGAGTGGGCAGGTATGGGAGACATGGTCTGTACTGCTGACTTGATAGGGGGAGGCTCTGCTGCAATAGTTTCTGGAGCTTCATAAACTAATTCCCCTGATTGTTCAATGGTCACCCATTCAAACTGATCACTATCCTTTGGTTTTTCCTGAGTAGTAGATGTTACCACTGGAGCACTCACCTACAGAAAAAAAAGGTGTGTTAATTATTTGTACATTTCAATACCGGGTTCAAATTGAAGACTTCGAGTGATCCCTTTGAAGCACAGCAATAAAGATTTAAAAAGTGACTTCTTTTTAAAAAAACAAGGAACCAAACATCTGCAAGCACATTATCGTAAGTATAGCAGTATCTACCAAGTGTCTCTGTGAAAGCTCTTTGTACTTAGTTAGATATCTATAGACAGATTCTTTGAGACTATGTAAAAGATCTTGTTTCTCACCAAATGTTGACTGATTCGTTCATGTATTTTTATAATTCTTTCCTGAAGCCATTCCTACTCCAGTGGTTACAAAGGGTGACTTCCTAATTCTATCATTCCATTAGTTGGTGAACTATAAGGAAAAAATATTCCTTTCTTCCCCATCTATCTTTTCGATGCTAATTTTTAGCAGCATATACTCTAATTTTATTTTATATTCTCTACTGCCACTATTTACTTTGGTGCCTACATAAAATCAGATTTGGTGACTGGAACCCCCTAAAAAGGACTCCTTCATTCTTTTAGGAGCATTTCTTTACTTTCTAGTACAATATAGTATTCTAGACCCATCTTATGCATTTCCTGGTCCAATGCTAGAACTTATCCAAGCAGCCCTGATTCGTTTTAGTGGAAAGTCAACATTGCTAGTGGAAGTCTGATTCCACGCACTATTACCAAACACATCTAGGAAATCCAGTCATACACATGTATTTGCATATATAGATAAAATTTCTATTTGTTGTATTCTTTAAAACATCAAAGCCATAAAAATCTAATAAAGATAGCAAAACTGCTACATATTAAAGTAGACTACACAAACAATACAACAAAATGCAATACATGACCTTGAACTGGATCCAGAACTTTACCACCCTCAAATCAAACAAAAGGAAAATGTCTTGTTTTGGTTCAGTTTTTTGAGACAAGGTCTCATTATATAGCATAGGCTGGTCTTGAACTCATAATCCTCTTACCTGTCTCTGCAAGTACTGTGATCACAAACATAAGCCAACATACCAAGCTCATTTTTCTCTTTTGGCCCTAAAGGATGTTGGTAGGACAACTGACAAAATAAGAATAAGATCTTACCCTTAAAGTACTAAATCAGAGTACTGTAAGAAGGTTTTTTCTATGAACAGTAGTAAGAAAATATTTCTGTAATCTAATTTTACATAATTCAAAGAAAAAATTTAATTCTAAGCATGGCTGCCATATAAAATGTCTATTTTGTTTAAACATCTATTTCTCTTGCAAAACCATGAAAAAGGCATTTGAGAAATACTAATTAGAAGTTCCTCACTCAAACATAATTTAATGAATTATGTTTAATGAAAGCACAGAGCTTTCTCATCATTCACTTAAAGATGGACCGAAAAAGGAAAGGTCATATGTATATCATGAAACACATGTTTGTAATGACCAATGTCCGTATTAAAGTAGCTAGGATTACCGATGTGAGCCACTGGAGCCTGGCGAGAACATTCTTGATTTGACCTCTTATGCTTTTAAGTTTACTGAAACTTGCTTTACCCATTATATTCTTTGTTTTGGTGAGAGTACCACAGACATTTTAAAAGAAAGTACATCCTATAGTTGGAATGCTATGCCCAAAAGGGCTAAAAGTTAGGTATATATAAAAGCTTTGGGTTTTTTTCCCTCCCTTAAATCTTCTCCAATCTTACTAATTCTAGCATCAATTTCTGAGAGATGAGTACAATAATGTAACTGAGTGTACATTTTGCCTAATGCTCTCATCAATTCTACCAATCTCTGCTTTATACTTTGAGGTTATATTACTAAATGTAGACTCATTTAAGATTACGACTTCTGAATTAATTCTTACTCAGTGATTTTACAACCCTGTTTACTTCTCAGATGTCTTCTAAGTCTACTTTGCCCAAAATTAAAATAGGCACAAGAGCTTTGAGACCTCATGCACATCCTTTGTAGATAGCATATACCCTGAGCATGTATTTCAATCACTCTGACAAACTTTAGCTTTTTGGAGAATTTTTTCTTTTATTTTTTTCTCCTTTTTTTATTGGCAGTTCTAGGGTTTGAATTCAGGATCTCATGCTTGCAAGAGATTCTCCCCTTCTTTCTCCCCTTCAGCCACATCTCCAGAACATTTTATTTTAGTTTTTTAAATGAAGTACTTAGTACACATACATTGAACATAATTACACATATTCTTGGATTTAAGTAGTCTTCACAGATTCATCATAATTATTTTAAAGTCCTTGTCTGACAACTCTAACACATTAGTTTCCCTGACTGGTTTTACTGATAAGTAAGTGTTGCATTTTCCTGTTATTTCACATGCATAGTGATTCCACCAATATACCCTGAGCACTGCTGATGAGATGTTCTTTCAACTCTTGAGTCTGTAATCTTCCCTGGAGTATGTTCAGTTTTGTTTTAGCAGGCACAGTTGTCCTGACAATGAAGCTTTTGACTTTATTCCTAAAGTGAAGCCTTTATTACTGGGAAGAAGCCTTTCCTCTCCATGAATGGTCCTGTGGACCATTCTATCTTCTCTGTGACAGACAGCAGCTGAACTTTCTGCACACCTCTTTCAGCCTTCTGGCTTTTGATCGATCTCAAAAGTTATATGTATGTACAATCCAGGAGCCAGCCAAGGATATTCAGGAGTTCATGTGTAGAATTCAGAGCTCCTCATTTGTGGCTCCCTGCTTTCTTAACTCTTCCTTCATTCAATTTCCAGCTGGCCTGAAGAATCAAACTTTGATCAATAAGACTGCTGCTTATATTTCAGTTCTATTTCTTCCATCCCACAGATATAGAGGAATGTTCCCTGGAGAAAAGTTGTATAAACACTAATATTACCGAATGTGTTCTAGACTTTCTGTATTAAAGTCCTTATTTCTACCTCGTTCTGGTCTTTTTACCAAGTCTGCTTATGAAAATTTACGTATTCTTTAGGGCAGGGCAGGCTTTCTCCACCATGGTCATCACTTCCTTTTGCGCTTTCCCCAGCAGAGGCTTTACCATCCATATTTCTATAACAATCTGTTCAAGGCAATCTTTAAATTTCCAATTGAAAATCATTTCCACATTTTTAGGTATGTTAATACAGTAGCACCCCACTTACAGGTATTAATCAATCTAGTAAACCATACTGAATACTAAATTAGGACAATTATTTTCACTGACAATGATAACTTTGAAAATAATGGAGTCTTTTCAATTTCAAATTGTTGATATAATTATCCCATTACTTTTTCCAATAAGAAATAAGGTTTCATTCCTATCTAAATGTGTCAAGATGTGGCTAAACTATGGTTATATCACCTCAAAATCAAAGTTATCTTAAAAGCCACTTAATATAGGTATTATTTGGGGTATAACTGTGCACCCAAGAAGTTATGAAAGTCTTAACCCCAAAACCTGTGATGGTAACACCTCATTTGGAAATAGGGCCTTTGCAAATGTAATCAAATTAAGCTGAAGTAAAACTGATTTAAAAAGACCCTAAATTCTGTGAGTGGTGTCCCTGAAGTATAAGAAATCAGCAATAAAAATTCCACTCTGTCAAAGTATTTTGTGTACACAACTCAAAATGTCCAATACTCCCCCCTCATTAATATAAAAAAAAAAAGCAGCATGGATAACACATACATCAATGAAAATTAACATTAATAAACATGGATATGGGCTAAAAAATGTTAAGAAATTACCTAACCTGGAAATGACACTTGAGACAGGAATAGAATTTAAAAAAAAATAAATAAAGAAGCATATATGGGTAGCAGTATACACTACTATTTTACTCTCTAATTTCTAATAACAACAATTATTACCATATCTAAAAGAAGCATAGAAATAGGAATGTTAGTATGACAGCCATAAAATGAAGACAAATGTTACAGTATGAGTCTAGCAAAGGGACCCTGAACATTTCTTCAGTATCAGCTAATCCTCATATAGCTCTGTGTAAACTGACCTTTGAAAGATTTATCCAATGCTCAAAGATTGCAAAGGCAAGGACATTTCTAAAAAAATTAATGCAAGTACGTTAGAAAACAAATAATAAAGGGATTCGCTGTGGAATAGTGTACTACATCAGAAATCTTATCTTACCTGTTGAATCACTTCTGGATATAGCATGGGTAGTCTTTCTGCAATAAGAGCCAACCCACCCATTCCTGCAAAAACTTGTAATGGTGACTGAATGGGACAGGTTTCAAGTAAAGACTCATCTAGTATCCCATCCGTGCACTCATCACTTGGAGTAAGAGCCTCATCTTCTGGACAGCAACCAATTAAATCTCCATGATCTACACAACAAATTACAAAAAAAATAAAAATAAAAAAGGGATTGACTAGGTAAGAAGAAATCTACTTTCTAACACTCTTTCATCTCCAAATCAGATATTGAAGCTTCCTTTGTATTCAAGAAAAGAGCATAAATATCACAGTTATTGATAAGGCTAGGTACTATATAATGCTTTCAAATGACTTCTGGTATTACCTTTGCAGTTGTGATACTCAAAGCATGGTTCATGGGCCAGAAGCTTGGGCATCGCCTAAGAGCTTGACTGAAATTAGAATCTCAGCATTAAACATGAATCTACAGGTAATTTATAAGTATACTGATGTTTGAAAGCACTATTCTTTAGGGCATACAAGTTATATTCCGTGTTTTTTTTTAAAGGCCTCAAAAAAGACTCTTACAAAAATATATATACATTAAGTTTGCAATTAGGATAAATGAATGGTAAAGACTCTGACTAAAAACTAAAAGTTACAGTATATTGATATACCTTTGATTTACTCTTTAGAGAAACCAAAGCATCCATAACCAGACATTACAAACATATAAAGAAAAGGGGGGAGGACAGTCTTGCTGAAAAACTGGGGAACAGCTACAAAAGAAAAAAAATGGTCAGCATCTAAGAATTAAATTTCAATCAGGAGAAAGACTGAATGCTTAAATGAGACCATATCCATACTATGAAATTTACTGCATATGCAGTATTTATAGTGGGGAAAATTAGTAACAGCAAGAACATTTAAACGACTGGGGAACATAAATTTTATTACATCCATACAAACAATAGCCAATTAACAATGTACATTTTAAAATACATTAATGGAATATATAATTAAAAAACTAAAATGTATGAACCCAATTCTGTGTGAGGAAAAGTGTTTATGAGCATTAACTCAATATAAATTATCACTAAATTATAAACTGGGGTTCTAATGCATAAAATGACAATTGACATAGTTCTCATGGAAATAACGTTAGAAAGGAAAGCACCTCAAGCTACAAGAGGAACTAACACAACTTAAATTTCAAATGAAATACTGTCAATTTTTATTATTTACAAATAATGCAGGCAAAAAGAAAATATCTTAAGTTCATGTAATGAAAACAGAGGTCAATAAAGTCATAAGCTGCATAATTTCTATCTCTTATATGACAGACTCTAGTTTTAAGGTATGATGCACATACCTTTCTCAGGGTGAAGTCTTTTAAAAGAATCTGTTTTTGACAGACTCGGGTCTGTGATAACTCTTGATCCCAATTTAACAGTCAGATCTATTGAACGGTAACCCTGAGGAAGTTTTCGGTCATAGAGGAGAGTTAAAAGCTGGGCAAGTGTCATTTCAGCTGGCAATGGCTGGCCTAAAAATGAAAAAATTCAGGTAAATTGAAGTCTAAGAAGAAGACATTTACTTATATGGATTTACCCATTACATGTTATTGTCACTAAATCATGGAGTTTGATTTGGACACTAATTTTAAAACAATTTAAATTAGCCACTGGAATATCTAAAAAAAAAACTGAGTTTATTTGTGACATATGTGAACAATAATGTTTATAAAGCACAGTTAAAGTAAAACACCATGGGCAAAACAAAATCAAAGGAATATACATGCTCGAAAATAAATAGTTGGCAAATATTTCCATAAGACACCTTGTAGCAAGAATTTTAAGTCACAGGGGCTGTATGTTGAGGCAGAAAAATAGCTAAGGATAACATGTTAATAAGTGGCCAAAGTTGTATTTTAAAAAACATTATTTACTAAAAGAGGTGCCCAACCCACAAGCCACAGCTTATTGACTTTGCTACAAATCAACAATGTAAGTTAAGAAAGATACTTCAATCAGTTAGTTGGCAATTTGACCATGATAAAGCAAAAAAAAAAAAAAGATCATAAAATGGGTCTCACCCACACCGATGAAAAGGATATTGGCCAAAGAATTCATTTAACTACCTGCAATATATCTTTAAATCCACGCCAACGACTAGGCCTACAAATTTGCTTAACACTGCATTCTGTGCAATTTACTTTCTGTGTTAGTGTTATCACACTAAAGGTAAAAATCAGGAAGCCAGCTATATAGTGAAAATATATAACTTCACAATGTTAAAAAAGGATATTTAATTCTGTTCTCACTTCTCTCAAAAGGAAGTGTAACTGAGAAAGTCTCATTTATTGTACCAAAAGCACCTTACCAAACATGATTCTGGTCACTACACAATGATTTATACAGTTGGAAGATTATTCAAACTTTCTTTGATGTTTATTCATTGTAAATATTACCTGCCAAGAGTTTGTGAAACAGATGAAACACTGGGACAGTAATGATTTTGTTGGCAGCCTCTGCACCTGAGGAAGTACTTCCCATTTTATCAGGGATTGTCCTCCCCCTCCTGGATGGTGGGCGAGGTGGTGTAGCTGACACAGCACGTTTAGATTGAGATTTCAGACCTAAAAGAAAACAATCAGTAACATTTTATATAGCCTACATATAAATATAAAGTAAAAATGAGTTTCTAAAATATTTAAAGCTGGAGATGTGGCTCCAGAGATGGAATGCCTAACTAGCAAGTGCAAAGTCCTGAGTTCAAATATTGTAATAAAGCACTAGTTAAAGCCAATATAAACAAATGTTTCTTTAATTCAGTATATAATCTAATTTTATTTGTCCTTCATGGCCTACTATAAGTAAGTTAGGCAGATGTGTCCAAGGGACTAAACTTATGGCTAGCTGTTAAAAATCTATGAAATACAGATGCCCATCCATAGATAGTCATCAATAGTAGCAAGGCATTTTTGCAAATATGTGTAAGCAAACTAATGTAGATTATTTCTGTCGAGATTGAACAGATATAGCAATGCCAATAGAAAGATCTCCTAAATGAGGACTAATGTGTGCTGAACCTTCTTTCCTTTTACTTTACTCTTTAATTTCCAATGCTATGTTTAAACTTAAGGCCTTCACTTGAGCCCTTTTGCTTCTGCTTTTAGTGGTTTTTCAGATAGGGGCTCACATTTATGCCAGCACTTACCTCAAACAACAATCATTCTACCTTCGCTTCTCAAGTAGCTGTTATTTCAGATGTGCATCATCACACCTGACTTGTTTTAAAGACAGAGTCTCACAGGCTATTTGAACAAGCAGGCCTGGAAATGCAATCCTATCTCCATATTCTGAGTAGATGGGAATACAAGCATGTACCACCACACCCAGCCCTCTAAAAATTTAAGGCTGAGCTTTCTTGTGCTTTGCAATTTGAGCCATGCCCCTAATCCATTCTCATTTGCACTAAAATCACTTCTTCTCTGTTAAAGAGATAATCCTCCAAAATTACCAATTATCCTTGCTATTTCTTTTCATTCTGAACCTAATACTGAAATATTTCAGGGAGGGGAAGGGGGCCCCTCCTCCCCCCCAAAAACCCTTATTTTTCAACCAGTCTTTGATATCTTTTATTTTCTAATTTTCTGTGATGAACACATTGAATGAAAACTAGGAAGTACTTTTTAGCTTTGCCTTGCTGTTTTTTTAAGCCCAGGGGGTTACAGAATGCATATGGGACTTGTAAGAACATGACTCACTCTGGTGTAAGGGTAGCATCATATCAAGTTTAAATGAACTGTCTAATTCATACATGTTCAGTATCTGATGAAATTCTGTAATCTTTGGGCCTAAAATAAGTTTAATAATTCAACTGCCAGAGCAGAGAGTAATAGAAATCTGGTGATATTTTTAAATTATTAAAACTCTATTAAGTCAAATTTTTGCATTAAAATACATTTCATTACTTGACATTTGTGTACATATAAATTGCTAAATTTCATAAAAACACAAATAAAATAATGATTATTAAAAAACAGAATGCATACCAGAGGCGACAACAACACTGTAATTGTCCTGAAATCCATTTTCTGCCTTAACTTTTTCCTTCTCTTCATGGTTCTTCTTTTCTTTGTCATCTTTTTGTTCACTAATTAGCTTAGCTGTGATACTTGGAGTATCTGTAAGGAAAAACTGTCTAAAATACATTTGTTTTTCTAAATCATTAAGAAAGGGAAAAAAAAAGTTTTTCAGAAGCTTATATAGGGTATTATCCCTAACAAAGAGGCAATGTACAGGAATGTAGAAGAAATGCCGTAAGATAAAGGCTGATATTTCAATACTTGCTGATAATAATCAAAGGACATACTGCTGTTCATAAAGAAGAATATTTAAGTTCCAACCTCTGGGAAGCACTATGTATCACAATAGTCACCATCAAGAAGCAGTAAAAAGCTATCAGTATGAAAATTTGCTTTAACTACAGTTCGATGTGCTTGTACTTACATATAACTCATGACTCACAACACAGATATAGCAAGAAAGAATATAGCTTTCAAAATAAAGAAACAAGCTTTAGAAAGGCTACTTGCAACCTATGGATGGCACATAATGGGACTGAAGCCCAGGACTCACACTGAAGCAGTACACTAGACTTCTACTCATGCTGCAAATGGCAGTATTAAAAAAACAGATTTTGGCAAAAGAGATTTTGTCATTTGTTATATTTTTATTTCAAATTAAAAGGAAAACAGACAATGAAGTAGTATTTTACCACTCTTTAAAAAATGAATACTAAGGGTTTTCATAGACAGTTACTACTCTCTAATATTTCTTTCTTCAAACTGGTATATATAGCATGGTATCAAAAATCATAATTTTTTAATAGGCAGTAAGATAATGATGTGATTTAGCTATTAAGAAATCCAAAGGTTGAACTGTTTTGACATTAGGAATTCTTCTTGCTAAAGGGATGAGATAAGAGAGTGACATTTTAGTTTTCTAATTTAACACAAGTATGATCTAAAATATTTTAGTTGAAAAGGTTGATCTTTTGTACAATCTCCTCATTTACATGTTTATTTGAGGATCTGGAAATACCCCAGTGAGCTTCTTACTACTAACTGCTCATTTCTAGAGCTCCTTACTACTAGCAGGTGCCTTTAGTTTCAACTTTTTTGTGAAATTTAAAAGTTCTGTAAGTATCACAAATGCATAATGCAACAATACATTTTACATTTTAGAAAACAGCCAACCAGGCCAGGGTTCGTAGTCCCTGCCTATAATCCCAGAACTTGGGAGGTTGAGGAAGGAGGATCTCAAAATTCAAAGCCAACCTAGGCTACATAACAAGATCCCATGAAAAGAAAACAAGAGAAACAAAAGAACGAAGAGTGAGTGAGAGAAATGAAGAAAGAAAACAACTAAGCAACCCCAAAAGACAAAAATATTGACTCAAGTCAGAGTAAAATATTTAATTTAAAAAAAAATCACAAAATTAATTCATAGCATACATAGTAGTGTAAGAAAAACATGCAAAAAGCACTAGTTGTTAGAATTTAGACAGCACCATCAGAAGCTCAGCTGATTTCCATGTAACTACTTTGGTGTCCAAAAATAAAAATCTAATAAAAAAACAAAAAGCTTTTTATTATCACATTGAGATATCACATTGAGAATAACTTCTTAACTTCCTGTTTGAAGCTGCTGGTTTGGAATTACACTTCTGGCCAAAATGCAATGTGAAGGACCAGACTTAACTCTCCCATTTGAAGTAACTAATAATCAGAAAAATACATGAAGTAATAGTTTTCAAACACTAAGATTAGGCAGGGAGATATGGCAATGCTTGGGTAAGTATAAACAAATCAGGTGAAGTCTAGGGCTGCTCCCACTTATTGTCTGAAGAGAGTCTCCCACAGCTCACCACAATGTAGGTATCACTTGAGATTGAGGATGTAATAAGGGACTGCAGGAAGACAAAGGCAGTTATTAAAGGATCTCATTCAAGTCTTCAGTGGGTACAGACAAGCATTCATGTGAAGAAAGGACAAGGCCAAGGACAGTACTACCCAAAAAGGAGCAAAGGGAACAACAACCTGCAGTCTCCACTGGGATATGTCATACTGTGTTTCCAGTGTTCACTGATTTCCTCATAAAGTACTCATTAAAGGAGCCGCCTCAGTAGTGGGGTCACGTGAGCCCTCTTCTGCTACATGAGGCCACCCTGGTCTTCCTTTCCTCCTCTTCCTAACACTGTACACATGACTTCTCTAATCCACCTCACTAAACTAGGTCAGAAAGTGGCTCATGATCTGCTTTTATGGAGACTTCCTCCACATTTAAAATTCCATGAAGGTCCAATAGATTTCTCAAGGAAATAATCCCTATCCTTCTTTACTTTCCTCTGGAAACCTGCCACTCTGTGCCTCTATTACTCTAACCTCTGGACAGAGTTTGTCATTCCATCCTCAACCCAGAGAGAAAGCCTTTTGCTCCCTCAGAAATTGTCATAGTGCTGGCTGAAGTCCAAGCTGATTCCCAAGTCTCCCATTTGTCTTTTCACGCTCACCAGGTCATCACAAGTGTTCCCTCCCAGAGGCCTGAATCCACAGCGGCCATCTCCGCCATGGCGGTTCTAGGTGGACAGGCATGGGGTTCACATCACCTTGTTACCCCCTATGGAGAACTGTAATTAACGTATGGCCGAAAGGTCTGAGAATGCTTTAAACTAATGTAATTGTTTATATGTGTTATTTTTTGTACTTTACGGAGTCAAGCATTGAGCAAAACACTCTCCACTTGCCAGGATATCCAGAAAACTAATGACTTTAACCAATTTTCAGTTTTTTTATTTTTATGCATGTTTAAATTGAGTTTTCCAAATACCAAATTTAAGACTTTTTGTGGGTATCTTTTGTAACTTCTATCTTTAGGATGGTTCTTAAACTGATACTGTAAAGTTAACATGTAAAAGCTGTTCTTCCTTCGAAAACAATGTTTAAATTAGGTCTAACTAAATCGGAGGCATTCAGGAATTAACTCTCATGCTCGGAATAAAGGGGAAAAAGAAGGTGGTTTTGAACTGAAGAGGTAAAATGGATCATGGAATTTGACTGGACAAAAAAATCTTAATACTGTCATAAATATAACTTGAATTCAATTCTCTTTTGCAATATATGGGTCTACTAACAAGTTTCTATATATTGATTTTGTATAGAGAAACAGTTTAAGATTGCTTTCTTCCTGGTTAGTCACTGAAATATAAGGTAACCAAGAGTATTTTATTTTAGGCCAGGCACAGGTAGTTCACACCTGTAATCCTAGCTCCTCAGGAGGCAGAGATCAAGAGGATCGCAGTTCAAAGCCAGCCTGGGCAAATAGTTTGCAAGACCCTATCTCAAAAAAAATTTATGCAAAGCAGGGCTGGCAGAATGGCTCGAGTGGTAGAGCACCTGCCTTGCAAGTATGAGGCTCTGAGTTCAAACCTCAGTACCAAGGGGGAATAAAAAGTGTTTTCTCTTATTGGGAAAAGAAACAATTTTGTCTATGTTCGAACTTTTGTATTTCCAAATGCAAATTAGAAAAGAGAGATGGAAAGGAATCAGCATGTAAGAAAGATATAAGAAGGTATAGCTTTAGAATAGAAAGCTAGTAAGAAAAGAAAAATCTTTTGGATGAGAAAGGACTTGTAATATTTGTCCTAAAGGACTGTTCCAAAATGGAAAAAGCAAGCTAGGAAAAAAAAACTGAATGCTCAAAAAAGTTGCAAAGGGTATAGCAGATCTTAAGAAGTACATAAAAAGGACAAAGACATGGCTCAAGTGGTAGAGCACCTGCTTTGCAAGCTCAAAACCCTGACTTCAAACCCCAGTACCACAAAAAACAAACAGAACAAAAATCCCAAAGAAGCATATAAAAGAAAAAGTTTATGAAAATGTGTGATCAAGCTGGCTATGACTTAAGAATTACCTAAATTTTTTTTCTAAGGTTAAAACTAGCACTTAAATCTCTATGTCTACAAAAAGGAAGCAATCTTAGACAGTACCATTCAGATGGGAAAACCCTGCCATTTGGGCAGTGCTGTTATTTAAAACCTGGCCTATGTGACATGTGTTTGACTGTGATGCTAATTGCTGCCAGCTCTTTTTGTATGTTGAATGTATTTGCATTCTCTAAATATATAATCCTTCTAGAATGCAAAGCTTAGAAAAAAAACCACTTTACCAAGCTATTGCCCTCTAAATTGAAACTGCTAGTTGTAGACTTGTGTTCATGTATTCCTAAGAACCCTTAATGGACTCCAAGTAAACCCAGTCTAAGAGTCAGTTCTCAGAAACCTCTTTGCTGCTTAAATTTGTGTGTGTTGGTGGGGGGGTTGGGGGGAAGGTCTTATTGGCACAGACTTCAGTCTGGCCTATCATTCTCCTCCAACATAGGATTAGATCAGACCAATAGAGACATACTGGCAACAGGGAAAGATCTACTAGGACAAAGCTTATGATGGTGACAAAGGATAGTTCAGAGATAGCAGTTTGGAAAAAATGGCTCAGGAAACAGGGGAAGTTGTGAGAATCCAAACAGAGGCACTTGTGCCAACACTTCAAAAGTAACTAAAGCTACATTGTGAAGAAATGGTTCATAGCATGGTTAACTGGCACAATGACCACCTTGCCTTTCTATCACACAGTATTTCTATGGCTCCAGGAGAAACCCAGATGTACCTCCTCCTTATCAAACCATCTATTATTAATATTTAAACTAAGAATGTTTCCTGCCACCCTCGGGCTATAAAACTACAAATGATAAAGCTCAAGGGATAACTGTACTAAACTCTGAACATGGCTCCTCCTTGAACACAAAACTGCCACTGGTTATGATCTCCAAAGGAAAGGATATACCCCTTCTACAAGGAGACCCCTAGATCATTCCTGTCCTGGGATTCCAACTGTCCCAATTGACAGTGACCAAGGGCCAGAGACTCCTGACCTAGGCCTATGCCCCATACCAGCAGAAAGCAGCCAAAAACTGACTTCAACTTCCAATTCCTGACTTCAGGGTCTTTCAGTGGAATGTTTCCAGAGTCCATGAGGGGAGAATGACAGGTAAGTAGTTACACATAAGCAGTGGGGATATGCAAAGGGAGCCTACAATGGAGGATTCTTCAAGATCTTGAGGTCTCAAGGGGGTAAAATGTTAGGTAGCAGGTAAACATAAGTGGTTACTATGGGAAGAAGAGATCACAGCGTTTCTGAGGAAAAAGCCTCGTAATTAAACTTTTTAACTCACAGGTAACTAGCATTTGTTAAGATCAAAATAGCTTACCAAGGTTATGGGATATAAAAAGATGTTTTTGAGACTCCAAGTCAGGAAGGATTAAGGGATTAATAAAGAGCTTTCTTCAAGCCTAAAGTGGATCTACAGTGATCTGAGGAGTCAAGCAGACTCAAGCATTTGTACATTGTAATGCTGTCTGGTGACATGGTAATCAAAAGAGTATGTTGCTTTACCATGACCTCTGCCCAGCGGGCTGGTCCACTGGAGGAATTTAATGCTCCAAGCCCATTACACTTCAATAAAAACTTGGGCTGGGAAAACTGTCATTCTCACCATACAGAAGACCCACGTTCAGTCTATTGAAGATGTATTCATTCTTAATGAAAGTTAGCATCACTTTTGATTTAAAAATAATAACCAAATCACCCTTCTAAAGCTTAGAAAATGAAAAGGAACAGATAATTTTGAACACATATGAAAGAAAATTATCCAAAATTTAAAAACATGGGGAAAAATCAGAAATTTGGCAAGCCATGCAATAACTTCAAAGAGCCTCAGAGAGAAGTAATTATAATAACCAAAGGGGATGGGGCTTGGAGACAAAATATTTGAAAAAATAATGGCCCAAACATTACAAATTTGATAAAACCTACAAGCCCACAGACGGAAAAAACTCAACCAATCCCAACCATAAGAAATGCAAAGCTATGGAGCTGCATATCAGTGGTACACTCTTGCCTATTATGCATAAAGCTATGGGTTTGATCAACAGTGAATGTGAAGAAAACTAAAGACATTTAATAGTCAAATAGGTTAAAACCAATCTATTATTCTGAGATTTGATTTGTGTTTTTAACTAATTAGTGTACATTTCTAGCTTTGTCCGGATACTTTCTCTTCCTTTAGTTAGCAAATTTCCCTTAAAAACTGAAGTCCCCTTTTATGGATACAGGTTATCAACATACATTCTTATGTTTATGTTAAAATACAAACATGCACACTTACAGGTTATTTTAAAATCTAACACACATAGATCACAATTATGTGTGATCTCACACAGAATTTGAGGGACGGAATGTGTACCATGCTCACTTTCACATCCGTAGGACAAAGTACAGGGCTTGTTACATAGAATTCATTCACTCACTAACTAGAATATGTAAGAGGTGATACACTCAAACCATCTAAAGTTGATATTCATTCGGCCATTAAAAACAGATTTTTCTTTAAATAACTTCAATGTTGCTTAAAAGCATCATTCTGCAATACATACAAAAAACCTAGGATAAAATGTTTCAATACTTTTTATACTAACAACTATAAACAATAAGCTGACCAGTCAATTACAGCCATCTGATTTTCATCTAATCACTCATTTCATTTAGAAAATATGTATTAATTAAAATCATGACAACCAACCTAATACCTTTTAATTCATCTACTATACAATGGGAAGTTGATTTTATGATGAAAAAATTCCATCAATGGTGACAATGGTTTGTCATTACTAAACATAACATACATCATAGTCAAAGGACTAGTGATATCTAAATATATTATTACACATTGTGTTCACTTGATTGCCTTATTTATATTTCAAACTATAAAGAAATTTTGACCTTTTCTGGTCATTAAAGGGTTGCTGAATGAAAACAATTAAGTTAAAAAAAAAACTAATAAAAATTTTATATACCTCTAACATAAATTTATAGAATTACAGAAATACGAGTAATTTTGACTTGCCTGATACTCGGTCAAGAACATCTGATAATGTTGTTGAGACTGGCAAATGAAGAGTACGAAATTTGTGGCCAGCGCCAAACATTGGATGCTGGATGACATGGCTAGTTGCATTAATTCTACCTTTGTACAGCTGAAAATCAAGAAATTAAAAG